CCCAGGCACGTGCGTGGACCTTGCTTTATTGCTAACATTGTTTATCTATGATACCCCAGGCACGTGCGTGGACCTTTGCTTTATTGCTAACATTGTTTATCTGTAATATCCCAGGCACGTGCGTGGACCTTGCTTTATTGCTAACATTGTTTATCTATGATACCCCAGGCACGTGCGTGGACCTTTGCTTTATTGCTAACATTGTTTATCTGTAATATCCCAGGCACGTGCGTGGACCTTGCTTTATTGCTAACATTGTTTATCTATGATACCCCAGGCACGTGCGTGGACCTTTGCTATCGGGTTTACATTATCTGTTGGTGGTCTTGTTGCCAAGCTATGGATTGCTTACTGTGTATTAAGTGAAAGATTTGTGAGACGATGGGTAAGCTTACTCAGTGATTTTTGTTCATTTGGAGACTTCCGGAATATTGTAGCTAAAGCATTGTTATATACTCGGCGTTCAAGACTTTCGACCGAGAAATCGTTCAAAAACTTTTCGGGACACAATCGGGAAGTAGTCGGAAATATTCGTGTTTTATTGATTTTCATTTTTTTTGTACAGAGAAATATGCTGGTTTGTATGCTCTCCATTGTTTTGGTGCTGTTTATCCTCGATGTAATTATTATGGGATGCTGGGAAGGGATAGATCCCCTGTACGCAAAGATGGTCGTCTATAAAGATCAAGAAATGTACAAATGTTTTCAGGTACGATAAACTGATGTGTCATTCACCAGTTTCTGTTATATGCTGTACTTAATTAAGTTATTGTAGTATGCAGTACACTAGTTCGTGTTGTATTTATGACGCCCACATATTATTTGCATCTTGATTTAATTCTAGTGATTTGTAGGTTTGATTTACACAAAGAAATTCGTGTTGTATAGATTATGCACATTGTTTTTTTTATTTACACGACGCAGCTCTAGGACGCATGCAGATTGCACGTGATAAACGGAAACCGTCATGTGATGTCATTTGTTCTTTCAGCCAATCACAGCCAAGACCTTTCAAGCAGACTGGTTCACTGTGGAACATTGCATGTGCGAGTATCCTGTGCTTTGGTTACTACTCGTCCTCATACTKAAATTCSTAGTTGTTTTCTTTGGTGTATTTCTAGCCTGGCAGACACGAAAACTATACATCAAATCACTCAACGACACACAGCATTGTGGATTTTGTCTGTTTGTTGTGGTATTCTGTGCAGTTTTAGGAGTTTTGTGTGCTTTGCTGACTACTAAACTGCCAAACCTGTTCTTTGGYATCGTTGGTACTCTACTTTTTCTGTGTACTACAATAATATTGGCGCTTCTGTATATACATAAGGTAAAATTTCGTTTTTGAGTTTTTTCCTTTTTCTCAGCATAACAGAATCTTTAGTAATGATGATGATGATGGTTATGATGATGATGATGATGGTGATGATGATGATAATGATGATGATGATGATGGTGATGATGATGGTGATGGTGATGATGATGATGATGATGATGATGATGATAATGGTAATGTTAGTGGTGGTGATGATAGTGATGATGATGATAATGATGATGGTTATTAATGGTGATGATGATGATAATGATCTTTCTTCAAATTGTAGATGTTCCGTATAGTCTACAAGCTAAAATCACGCCGTGGTAAAACCATTCTAGTCAGTAGTAAAGACGACCCTCAAAGCACCAAGAGTTCCAAGAGCACCAGCTGTTCGTTCTGTACTTGCTCAGCAGCGTGCTGCATTACTATGTTCTCGTGTTTTCCTTGCTGCAATCCTTACACTTGCTGCAGAAAATGTTGCTGTGGGACCCAGGTCCATCCGAGTAAGGACGATGATAAGACTGAGTTCTACATTAATGGCCAAGCTCAAGAGAAAGAGGGACAAATTKCGTATTTGTTAAGAGAGCTACACGAGGTAAGGGACCTTTAGGACGAAATATCTTATCAAAGTTGGTTCCTATCGACCTGAATTTCTTTGCTTCTTGAAATGTATTACTAGCAAGACAATAATCACATGTATTTTCACTACAGCGTGACGCAGAGCTTGCAAGGCTTCGTCCAGGCCTTAGTACGTCGATGTGGACCCAGACCTATGAMGACGACCTGGACGATGAAGACGACGATGACGGTGTCTACTCGGACCGTGACGACCTTGATGGAGATGCCGGGAATAGTGACGGTGGATCTAGTACAAAYAGCAGGAGGTTGGTTTTAAACTTTATATGGAATTTGATAACGATCAAGATGTCAATAATAGCGTTCATAACAAATAATTTTCAATTCTAAGGTCAAGAAGAGGGCGAAAGCGTAACGGTGTCAAGATATTCAACAGAGGCGCCGACTATTCTCACATCAGGAGCAAAGTTGACACGGGTGTTGCTAAGTCACCTAGATCACAGAAGAAGCACGACGAATCATACTACCTTGGGGTGTGGCAGGCWAAAGGGGGTCGGGCCAATGATGCTGAAATTGCAAAACTACGTGCGCAACTAAAGGAGGTTAGTCGTTGCTTTATATCATTTGGGGGGGACGTTGTTGTGCATGCTGTTTTGAATGTGGCAATTACATTTTGTATGAAGAAACTTGGTTATTGTGGCCAAACGATTAGTTCTTTGGTCGGATTATTAGAAAACGAGAAGTATTTTATCCGGCGTTAGTGAGTAAAACAGTCTATCGATTATTATTGTAGAAAGATAAAGAGATCGAGAGACTCAAGAAGGACAAACTGAATAAAAACCCAAATACCAAAATAACGGTAAGTTTTYTAAGATAAAAATCAATGTTTTTCGACAACAACACTATTGACTTACAAATTCAACTACTTCTACAAGCATCAGTCTACCTTACTTTTTGAATAAATGGTCAAGTAATCTATTAAAATTTTCCGTTATTCGTAGATTATAAACGAAGAAGCTGACAATCCTAACACCGTCGAGAAACAATGTCAAACTGATTTCACAACTCCTGTTAGTAAGAAGAACAGTRTTACTGGTGTCAAGTCACCATCAACGTCAACCAAGTCAACTCCATCAAAAACCACCTCCAAAAATACTAAAACATCGAAAAATGATTTCAAAGACAAAGTGATAATTGTGAAAACAAAAGAAGAAAAAGAAGTTAAGAAAGAAGAAGAGAAGCCTGTTCAGTCCAATGCAGAATGGTTGTTCGGGAAACACGAAGAAGCTGATGCAACAAACACAAAGGAGAAAGAAGACAAACAAGACGAGGAAAAGACTGACGTGGTTGATAAGTCTCTCGATAAACAAGAACAAACTAAGATCATCGTTATTCCAGCACAAAATGACGGGAGAAACGAAGCGCAACATGAAGGGGACAAAAACGAAGACGACAGTCGTATTGACGTAGTTGTTGTACCAACACAGCTTCCCAMAGACGAAGAAAAARAAAAATTGGAGGACAGAAAAAAGGGAGAAGACAACCAAAAGGAAAAACAAATGCAAGAGGAAGAAGAAGAAAGAATGAAACAACTAAAACTCGCAGAAGAGAAGGAAAAACAAGAGAAACAAAAGCAAGAAAGAAGAAAAAGTCGATTCAGTTTTTTTGGAAGGAAAGACTCGTCTTCTGTGGAATCTCCAAAGGACATAGAGAACCAGCCAATAAACAGTGATCCCCAATCCGAACAAGAGAAGCCTGAAATTGAAAAAGAAAAGCCTGTCAAACCGGATACACCAAAAGCAGATAAACCAGACAAACCAGAATTACCTAAAGTGGAAAAACAAGATCAACCAGTTCAACCTGAATCACTCGTGAAAAAAGAACAAGATGATCCAGTCAAAAAAGAAAAACAAGATCAACCAGTTCAACCTGAATCAATTGTGAAAAAAGAACAAGACGATCCAGTCAAACTGGACTCAACGGAAAATGATAAAAGCGGGAAAGAACAAGAAAAACCTGATTTGGAAAAACCTGATGAACAGATCAAGGCAGACAATACTAAACCATCACAAGCTGAAACAAAAAAGCCAGACGAATTTGATGTGGAAGAAAGCCACCCCATACGACCACCACAAAACACGCCAGCAAGCGTAGGAAGACCGAACGATGAAGCCACTGATGACAAGAAGGATGAAACTACAGAAAAACAGGAACAAAAAGCGGACAAGGTCAAAAATGACTCATCAGCCAGTGAAAATGAACCATCAGATGAGATGGATGATATAGATGAAGAGGGAGATGATGATGAGGTTGACAATAGAGAAAGCAGCAATGATGATGATGATGACAAAGATGAAGAAGGAGAAGACAGCAAAGATAACCAAAAAACGAAACGTAAAAAGAAACGTATTGGTGGAAAACTGAACTGGAAYGCAGAGTCCAAGGTCGACACATCAAATAACTACAAAAGACGCCAGAGTAAAAAAATCAAAACTTATAAAGCAGATTATTCACATGTGAARTCCAAGCTGACTGGTTCACCAAGTRCTAAAAATAATGAAAACAAGGATGAAAACAAAGAAAAGGAAAAGAGAAAACCAAGAAGAAGGGTTAAAAAGAAACGATGGAACCCTAATGAAAAGAATCAGAGTGAAACTCGGTGAGATGAAACATTTCTCAAGTCCTTGTAAAGGATCAAGAATTTCCATCAAGTTGGTGAGCTGACAGGGGGATGTATCACAAATCCTGAACAAACATCGTGTGAAATAAAATCGTCTCAGCTACAAACTTTCCTGCTCCCCAATGATTGTGTCTCAGAAACCTWTATGAAAGCAAAAGTGCCCGATGAAAACAGTTTTGATTTTACAGTAAATAGCAAATGATTTAACATAGCAATGGCATAAGTCTGTATAGCTTGTAGACTTGACACACTATTGTTTGTGTCCCATATCTAATCAAGAGAAAACTGTGCACAAAGTGTAAGAAAAAGCSTCCCCTGAGGTTAAGAGGGACTTTTATARTGGTAAAAACTTGTAGTACTGTTTTAAGGGCCACTAGTTTATCAGTTTTTATTGCTGTTACGTGTTACCTTCGTTAAATAAAGTTTATTGTATTGTACTGTGTAATAAAAGCTTGTGAAGCTTGTTATATAACCTTTGTATCCTAACATGTATAGGTGTTTCATCAATATTTAAGAATTTTTATCAAACTGTAAGAGATATTGTACATAAAACGTAGAAGCAAACTAAGATAGATGTTTAGGCATAATACTAGTGAAATAATAACAATACTTCATATGGAATATTTATTTTGGTATTTACACTTGTTTATCGAGTTTTATTAACCAAATGACTGTTGTACATGAAAATAAAAGCTATACTTTACTTTTTACCAAATACAGTGTTATTGAAGGRCTATTTTTGGAAAAAAAACTTGTAACAAGGCTTTGTTTCTTTTGTATTTTTGTAAACATTAAAGGCCATTTCCACTAGTGAAGTAAGTCGAGAAGGAGAAACCATTTACACATGTGAGAAACTCAGATAATGGATAAAAAAGGAGCAAAGAAAGCAAGAAAGAAGTGTCAATGGAAGCATAATTAATTGTTTTTCTCCTCTATTCTTGCTTACTCAGCTAGTAAAAACCAGGCTAAATCTCTCATTAAAAACACAACAAACACAACCAACTACATCTTTTTGCACTTTTATTTATCCATGTTAGCACGGCACTGTCATTTCCTGGATCTCTGTCAGTTCATATAGGCAACCACAGCAGTAAGAAATAAAGACGAGGTAGCTATTGTTGTCAGTACCTTTCTTAATGCAAGGTACCAACCAGGAAAAGATGGAGTCCCTAGATCCTTAGAAAGTGCATAAAGCAACCCTATTGCTATAGTAACCAGTCCATACTGAGGCTTAATAAGCAGTGCCGACCATGCTACAAGTGATGGGGACACACTGTATCCCAGGGTACCCCAGTTAGGCTTGAGATGGGTGTCCTTAGACAATGCATAACCCCAGTGTATTGCACCTAAAAATGAAAGTATGCATGCTCCATAACCACATTGCGCAGTAAGAATAATGTCCAGGTATTCAGGAGTAACCATTGATAAACCAGCAAGTCCAGCAAAAGGTATAGCTCCACTAAACCCAAGCCAGATAGCAGGGGGAGGACTGGATTTTAAATCTYGAACAAACTTAGCATCTTGTTGCTTTGTACAAAGTGTCCTTGAGGTAATACTTGTGTTGGGAAGACTGAATTTCTTTGCTTGTGAAGGCTAAAGATTAAAGAAATGTTTTAAGCTTCCAGGAGATATTCTTTAGCTTCATATATGCACGCAGACCATGGCTGGTACAGTCCGTACACTACAAAACAGTTCAAAAATKTAGGATTATATAGTAAAATTTTACCTTGTCAATTGGCCTTTCTCCAGAATGAAGTATTTTAGCTTTTGTCACGAAAATAGAAGTAAATCGACGCGATGACAGACCTATAAACAACTTGTTAAATATCAAACTTTTTCTGCCAGTGGCAGCCGCCATATTGAATTAATGTGTTTAGCCGCTGGCTCAATGTAATGCAGTGGCATGATTAGGTCGAACAGCGCGAAGTCATATTCGACTCCTTATTTTCACAGCATGTTTCAGGGGGAACCGTTTCAATAATATTGTTCGATATTCTTGGGTTTCTGTTTTTAGTTTTATCTTATCCCATCAATGTTTTGTGAATTGCAATTATTATATTTATTATTTAGTATGATTGACAATTACAATTAATAATTAATATTAAATAAATATGCAGATAACTCACAGTCATTATACACCTGTACGTCAAGAGTTCTGACAAAATATCAATTACTAGATTAATTAATTTTAATTTTACTTCTGCCAATTGTGCATCCCATGCATAATTCCATAGTGCATTATCAGCCATATGCATGCGTGCGTTCATCTTGGGATTCATTTATATATATAATCGGTATTTATCTTTCGACGAAGTTCATCACTTRCAATTTGTATTAGAGCGCTTTCCATTTGTCAGAACTGACTGGCCAGAACAAAAGGGAATTCCAATATTTATCTTTTTTTTTTTGGCAGAAGAATCGATTTCTAAATTATATCCAAAAGTATAATGGAAAGCATGAAAAAATACTGAAAAATCTCAACAAAAAGCATGATTTACTTATATAAATAGATCGGTCTGGTTCCGACCTGTCTTAATGAAATGCGCACTACTGATGAGTAGTCATCACGATCGTTTCGGTTTCAYAAGTGACAATAACTGTAACCATAGGTCATGTTTCTACGAGAGTTATATCAAACGTCATTCGCTGTCATCCTTACTGTTCTTGCGTAAATATCTACAGTTACGTAAATCTTCCATAGCTTCCGATAAATCGGGCAACGAAAGCGATCTYCGACGTCGTTCAAGTCGACTAGGTGTCGGCGAAGGTGTTTCTCCTCTTTCCATGAGCTCTGCTATTGATTTCTTAGGTTTTACGGGTTGGACCTGATAAAGACGTGAAAACACTGTCTTTGATGCTTTTTCGTTTTGTTTTCCTTTCGGTGGTTGTTTACTTGTCGAAGTTATGGATAGTGGCTTTATTGCAAGTCCACGGTGAACAACAACCCCCCCAGGAGGTGAACTGCTTGGATCTGTTTTTGCGAACTTTGCTGTTAGAATAGGCGACGCTGTGTTGTTACGACTCAGTTTCGTTGAAACAACTCGGCGGTCGTCAATGATTTTTTCTTTGTTTACATCATTAAACAAAGGACTTAAAGAGTTGAAATTGTTGGCGTGTGCAGCCTTTGGCGACGGTGGAGAGGAACTGGTGGACACCAGAGTTGAAGATCGCTGAGTTAAAAACCCATCTCTTCTAGTGCTTGCTGAATTGCTTCTTATAAGAGGAAGAAGCTTAGGTCTTTGGGTGTTTGTCAGCGTCCCCTTTCTCTCGATTTTCACGACCTCACTGGATTCATCGCGTTCTTCGTATTCACTTGTGGTCCCTTTCTTTCTTGTCGGTTTGGRGGAAGAAGACAACCTCATTTCGTCTTTTTTTATTTGCAGTGACAACATCTTCAAGTTTTTTTCAACTTCTAATTGTTTTACTGTTTTTCCAAGTGCATGGCCTCGGTAACTATTAGCTGTAATAGCATTCTTCATTGAAGTACTGACTTTTCTCGTAGCCATGCCGTCCATTTTTTTCAAAGCAGGAGGTGCAAATGCGTGCGATGCGTCAACTAACGGCAAGGAAAACCCTACCTTTACGACGCACGGCAGCTACCAGATGTGCTCAAAGATAATTCTAGATGATTTTTCCAATATAGTATTGTGTAGTTTACGTCATTTCCTTTGTGGGGCTGTCAAAATACCGAACGCTTCTGTCAATATTGGAACAACTTTAGAAATTGATCGATTTGAACAACAAGTGCAATAAGCTTTTACAACAGGTAAAAACCACCAGTTCCATTGCATACAGGAAACTGTATTAGTCAAAATGAAATGATGCTGTTATAACCTTAGKTTAACCAATTATAAAAATGTCGTTGTTTGGGACTTACTTTAATGGGATTAATGATCCCAAATAAACCGCTTTTTTAATAAATTCATGTCTTCACCCTGTTTACGAACAGCTTAGAAGTAGTCATTTCATTGAATTATTAAAACTCTCTGACCAGCACCAATTAGTATAACACAAAAAACACTCATCTCTTCCAAATAAATTATTTACGTTTCAAAGTTTGTCATGTAAAAACGAAAAAATAAATAAAATAATGAGTTCGGAACATTTTATTAGAAGTGTTAAAATGATTATAAACACTGAGCTCTAATGAATCCTAGTATCCTAATGGATTTGYTTTTGGATTCGCACGATACCCTACATTACGAATATGAAAGGAACACTTTGTCAATATGTTAGTAGAAAAGGCACCTTTCGTGACTATTCTGAAYATTTCAGTATTCAATCATATACAACTGTCTTGATATATGGAATTTATGAATAAGGCTTTACACGAAAGTTAATTGAATGAATTACTAAGAGTTTGCCAAATGACACTAGGTCACGTGATAATGACGTTTTTTCATTCACGGTACACCCATAATTCAATTCGTTCTCTAATCAACAATTTCCCGCATTTTAATTTTGTTAAAAAAGTTTATTACAATTTCTACAGATTTGCTGCTGTTTTTGTTGCTGCTTTCCAAAACACAGTATATTACTCATTTTTACATACAATGTTGTTATTTTGTCCAAATTGTCCATAAGATTGTTACATTGTATATTATGCTGTCTAAGTGGTGTAGACGATGTTTTCAGTTCAAATTGCTATCAATCTTTCAATGTTATATTGATAATCTTAATGTCTTCATAAGGCTTGTCGTTCTTTGGGTTTGTTTTAACTAAACTGATTTGTTGAGCAGTGTCCATTCCCTTGATAACGCGGCCGAATACTGTATGCTTATTGTCCAACCATGGCTACAAAAATATCAAAAAGAAAAACAAATTACATGACGGAAGARTAACGATAAAAAGACGACCAGTTGATGAATGAATGGATTGGTAAATAAATAAATTGAAAGAAATAAATGATGAAAAGGAGGAAGGGTGGAATGGATGGATGGACGTTGAATGAGTAGATGGGTGGAACGATACATGATGAGAGTCTKAATAAAAAAATGGATGAATAATAAACGAGAAAATGTGAATTACTAATGGRATGGTAAGATGAGTGAATACATGGATACAAGAATGAATGCATGACATCTGTCCTTCMATTTTTGACACTATATGAAAAATAGATGTGGTCCAACGAAGTCAGAAACAAAATGTAACATACCGTTGGTACGACAGTTATAAAGAACTGCGATCCATTAGTGTTTGGTCCAGCATTAGCCATGCTTAGAGTATAAGCTCTGTCGTGACGAAGACTCCTATGAAACTCGTCTTCGAACTCACCACCCCATATCGATTCTCCGCCGGTGCCATCCCCTGTTGGGAAGAACAGAAATACGAACAATTCAACTCAAAATGTTCTCCAGAAGAAACTAATYGACAAGATAAATACAACATCAACTGCATAGCCAGYCYTCTTCATGCCTCTTGGCTGGGATGCCTGTGGACTGGCTAAGCTGTTTAACAATGTGAGTTTTTTATTAACCTTGAGGATCGCCTGTTTGGACCATAAACTGCTTGATGACCCGATGGAAGATGTGRTTGTTATAGTAACCATTTTTACTATGAGTTGAGAAGTTTTCRATTGTCTTTGGACACCTAAAATAATGAAAAAGTCACCTGTTATTTCAAACATAGGAAAGATTGGCTGTTAGAATTTAAGACTTGACATACAGTTTAGGAAACAGCTCAGCTGTGATATCTCCCATGGTTGTATGGATAGTGGCTTGTGTTGGCAGCTTTGCTGGTCCACTTGAGCCCTGTAGWAAAACAAGTCATAAAATATATGCAGTAGAATAAGTAGCAAATACATACATGCGGTAAATTCAGTAGATTAGGTGCACTGACTAGCCTGAGTTTCATCCAGAGTTTACTTGTAAACACCGTTGTTTTAGAGAATAAACCGGATGTACTCAGGCTATGAATAACACCAAAGTATCAGGCCAAAGTTTAAACACTGCTCTTCTCACCTGAGTTGATGCCATGATTTCTTCACGRGAAGGCTTTTCATTAAACACGTCTCGGTCACTCTGCTCACTTTTGTTGCAAAAATCAGTAATAAACAAAGAAAGAAAGATATGAATGATTAAACAGAATAATGAACATATTGTAGATCAATAAAATAAATAGAAATAATAATCACTAGATACAAGAACATTTACACTGATAAATGATGTGCAGTATATTCAAGTATTCCATGTGCGTTGGGTAGATATAGGTAGATGAAKRYATGTAGTGTAATACAATAGTTATARTATCAGTTACAATATTACAACAATACTGCATACTGACCTTATTGCTGGTTCTCTGGATGAAAATATATAAAATCTATTCTTTTTATAACCCGTGCAAAACACTGTAGGATCTGAAGACTCCTTCTTTAATGATGGATTGTCTGATGCCTGAATCTCCTAAAATACAATACAAAGACAGTTTTGTGTACAGAAATAATAAAACCACATGACAAACAGATTGTAAAGCTACATGTGTAATAATCTACTTACAAACTTACCATAGTTAGAGCAGCATTAGATTTTTGAGGTTGCCCTTGATACAAAGCTAGTTGTAAGACACGGACATTTTCTAACTAAACAAACAAAAACATAACCATTTGAGTAAGGTTGAAGTCAAATATGAAGGMAAGAATGAGTGTAGAGATAGTGATATGCATGTACAATGTATCAATAAAAATGTCTAACCTTTCCAATCATTCTAACACAGCGAGTAGTATGTAGATTAATAACTGTAGAAAAGCAGAAAACATAACATATTATACATAAACAAGGAAATTTGCATATCATCTTTAATGCCTTCTTATATCACCTTTTATGCCTAACATAGTACCATAGAGAAGAAAATACCCACTTTCATCAAACACTAAAAACAAACAAATAAAAAATTCAATAAACAAAGTCTTTATCAAATCCAAAATTTAAAATGAATTTTTTTTTTACATTTTTTTAAACTTTTGTTTCTACTGTAATTAAATTATTACATGTTGATTAAAATCAACTTACCAACATTTGAGTACTTCAAAGCATCAGATTTCTCCAAATCTCTTTCAGTGGCAGCCCTTCGTCCAAACTCCATATCTGGCAGTTGTTGTTTTTGCTATACATGAAACAAAGGAAGTGTCATCAACTTTAACTTACTGTAGAAGTTCATTCAATCCATTTATATGCAAGCATTACGTACCTGTTGCATCTCTGTGAATACTTGTAATGATTCATCAAAAACTAAAGTCTTCTTTCCTGTTAAAAATCTGAATACTCTAATCTGAAAATAAAATATCAGTAAAGCGGAAAAGATGAGACAAGATATGATTGTTTTACTTGATGAATAAATGCTTCACCTTTCTGTCTGCAGCCATTGTAGCAAATACTTTACCATTGGGTGAGATAGCTAAAGAAACTGGATACGTTTTGCACTGAAAGATACATTGTACAATTCAGATGCATTTTGTACATTATGCAATTAATATAAATGCTTCAAGGTCTTGTTATTGTTAATGCAAGTATACTCATACAATCCTGTAAACACAGTATTATACTTGAAGACTATACATTGTTAGATAAACTTCAGATGAGATCTAAAATGCCCTTATATTTACCTTAATGAATTCGTACAAGTCAGTATCAGTTTTGAACTCAAAATTTAAATTTTTAGGAAAAGTACAGTCTTTTTTAAGTCCTGTCCAATACTCAATGATCCCTGCCTTGTCTGTAGAAACAGCGATGTCAAAAACTGGATTATACTACAAGAACAAACAACCATAGATGTTATAAKTACATGAATTGACAGCAGGATAGGTGGGTAGATAAGAGAAAAGAAGAAACTGCAAATAACAGGACTTACTCTAATAACAGTCACACTAGCACTGTGTAATTTGAGGCTGTGTAGAGGAGTATTTGTTCCTCTTCCATCGTAAACATGGATAACGCCTGTRTCTTCATCTGCACTGTGAGCAATGATAAAGAACAATATAATTCATGATTATGATCACTATTCACATACTGGTAAGCAGTTTATTAAGCTGAATTCATAATTTATAGGCATTAATAATGTTGTCTATTCTGATCTCAACAAAAGGAGATCATTCWTTACTAAGTTTTATAAACAATGCAAGTGCATGCCTTAGTTCCCTGTGTTTAGATGACACTTAACATTTTTCTGTTTAACAGCAATCAACACTGTACAAAACTTCACTACATGTACCACATGAACACATGATATGTATAGATTACTCAGCCATACGAACAAAAATCTTTACTCAGCATGAATAAACTTACCATGCAACYGCTGCAATTGCTGCMCCTTTAGGRAAAACCCACTCACACTTTCCTGGCTTGTAGTTTAACTTAAGCATATTTATCATGTCTTGAAATAAACCAACGAAAAATAGGTCATTCTGTGTAAATTAATGCTATCAAATTATGTTTCCAAGAACAGTACACATTATCCTTGAAATAAAAGACATTACACAATGGATTTTTGTACAAAATAGTTTAGCAAACTTTTTCACAGGGTATTTTTCATCAGACCTTTTCACTGTGGTATAAACATCATGTAGTATTATTATGTACTCACCAAAATTGATGACATCAAATACTTTCATTGATCTATCATCAGCCGTTGAGCATAAGAGCTGTCCATCAGCACTGACGGCAATACACTGAATAACACCTATATATTAAATAGTAAGATTAMACAGATATTACTGATAAAGAGATTAATTCAAACTTACCTAAATGACTTTTAAAATGTTTGACAAACTCAATGCCTTCTTCTTGTTTGATCCAAAATTTTATGTGACCATCGCAGCTTGCTGTTATCAAAAAATCTGACCTTGAACAAACAAAACACAAAATGTTCTTTTCCCATCAAATAGTCAATAGCCAACAACACATTTCGGCATCACTGTCACTTCTAGAAAGTGCCAATGCTTCACTAAACTGGGCTAAACTGCTGCRTCAAATGTTGATGTTTACAATACCTTGTAGTAGCTATATGGGTAATAACATCGCGATGCATATAGCTTCTTTCATARGATTCAGCACTTGGCAAGTTGGCCAAGTAGACTTTTTCAAACTCTAGAACTACAATATAAAAAGTTATGAGCCGTGTGTGTAGCTTAAGTTAAGTTATATGTGCATGCAGTTAATGGAAAATGAGTCAATGTATATGTACTTTTTAGTGCAGACTATTACATAAAGTAGAAAATCGTCATGGTGTATTATATTGAATTTCTTTGTTTACAAAATATCCTCGATCTTAACTTGGGACAGAAGTCAGCTTTAAGACTTGATCGAAACGAATGATTTTGACAGTAACTTTAGAATCAAAACTACTAATTTGTACAGAGTAAATAAAAAAAATTACCCTTCTTTTTCTTTGGTTTTGGCGAAGCCACAGGCATAGGTCCTATAACATCATCATCGTCGTCTTCGTCTTCTTCTTCTTCGTTTGTTTTAGCTGCACGTTTTCGAGTCAAATCGTCCGCCATTTTGATATTTCATTCGTTTGCAATGCAGCCTGGGAGTATCATCGAAGCTACACAGGAAGTCCAAATTTTATACTAACTTATTTATTATTTCAAAAGTATTTGGTAATCATATCAAAGAAGCAAAATTCTAGGATTTTCATTCAAAAATAGATGTATTTTTCTCGTTTAAACTACWAAGAACTTTCAACGGTTGAATATATGATTGAGAGCTTCTTTTCTGGGATTCCTGTTGTTACTACCCATAATTACAAGCAGGCATGAATTTGCCCACAATCCTTTGCATAGTCTTGATAAAAATGGTGAGTGTACACAAGAGAATCCATGTATTTCTCTCCATGTTTTCATTTCTTTTCGGTCGATTTTGCTAAACTTATCTTACATAGAGAAACTTAAACTTCTGTTGTGTCTTAGGGAGGTGTAAAGAAGTTTGATTATCCCAAATATGTGTGGTCACCGGCGGGAGGTTGGTGGTGCAACCCTAGAAACTGGAGAAGAAACACTGCGATTGCTTTTGYGGTGGTATTCGCAGTATCTGTTCCCGTAGCTTACATTGGACTGCAGTTAGAGGTATATTTTGACATTTTGCAGTGGATTTCTRCAGACTAGTACCATGTACCTTATTGTATCTCATTTGTTTATGTATTTTTAGAGACGACCAGTACCTCCATATAGACATATTTTTTCCCAAAGACTAGCAAAACATGCAAAGGTATACTTTTTTWAAAAAATATGGCTGATGATGCATGTAGATTTGTTTGAATACAAAATGATTATTTGCAGGTTCCTTTGTGTATAGATTTACTCTAAATCCCTTAAAAAGTCAAGTGCAAATGTCATCTAGTTAAATAAAATTATTCTGTGTTTCTGAGAAAAACTTTTGTTTTGTCCCAAGATGAAGCTATTTTGACATCAAAGCAATGCAAAGGTTTTATTATCTATCTATCTATCTATCTGTACATATGGTATATGACAATATACTTAAAGCTACAATAATCTTGGACAGAAAGTCAGAGAATG